TTGGAATCATTATGTCAGAAATGTCAATCAGACGAAGATTTAAGATTTTCAAGATCTTACCTTATGTCACTCCAGGGGTTTATCAGAACAAGAGTTATAACAGAGACGTCAACCAGACAAAGACTGAAACTTCTAGTATCTTACCTTATGTTTCCCCAGAGACTTTATCGGATCAAAAGTTTAAACCGGTTGTGGGCAAAGATTTAAGATTTTTAGAACCTTGCCTACGTCGCTCCAGGGGTTTTATCGGTCAAAGGTTTACACCAGCATAGTGGGCTTTATTATGATTGGCTGATTTTTGAAGTTCATCTTATTTAGATATAGTAATATTTATCATTATAAAATAAGTAATACCAAGTTAATAAAATTTGATCAAATGTTTGTAGCTAAACAGAAAATTACTAACTAGTGAAAAATGAGTAGAAAAATCTTGCAAACCAAACTATCAATAGTATATATACAACTAATATTAATAAATAGATGTGTAGATGTTTTGTATTTTTAATTAGTCAGTTTTTTATATATAAACATTTAATATAACAGAAGAGTAAAGTAATAATACAATTTTTTAATCAAGTTTGCTATCATTGCCAATATCTCTTTATTGATACTTTATGTATATTAACTAATAATATTGAATATACTAAATTTGTAAATAATATTAAACAAATTACAACAAATTATCAAACTATTGATGATTCACAAGCTTGTGAAGAATTATATTCTCAGCTTATAGAAGTAACAAAAAAAACTTTTAAGATTCTTAAAGATCAACAGAATAAAAAAAAAAATTATAAGTAGGCAAAAGCTGTTAAACAAAATTTTAATATATTAGAGCAAATGATATTTGAAATTACTTCATTCAAACAAAGAAAAACAATACCTCACATATTTAAAAATCATTCACACAATACTTTGTTTTTTAATTAAAAATAAATTAGTAGTAATGCATTAAATTTATAAATTGCAATTTTAATCTAGTAAAAGAATATACATTTAATGTATATGTCTTATTGTGCTTTTAATAAAATAAAAGAATATATATATATTTGACTTTTATTAGTTCTTGTATCTCAAAATAATATCTCGGGAAGCTATTTTTGTACAAATATGATAGTTTCGTAATAATTACTGGGATCAGCATGTTGCACTACATAAATCATGCGAGGGTGAAAATTTTGATAACGATACTGGGGTAAATTCTTAAATTTTGATTGAAAAATTGTAAAAATAAATCACTTAAGTGATCTATTTTTAGGTTTATTTGGCAACACTCGTTTGGTAAAGACTAGAGATTGTACCCGTCAAGAAAATTTCTACCCGGATATTATTAAATTAACCGTTATCGTATATGATAAATCGTAAATTGTTGGCTAGGTTTTTTATAAAATTTAAACTTAATATAAATTGTATAGTAGTGATAGTAGGTAAATCGTATGATAGCGATGGTAGGTAGGGTTGTGAAATTACCATAATTTTACGTAATTATATTTTGCATAAGATTCGGTAATTGTAATTTTGATCACATGATGTATGGCTTCTGCGATCAAATTTTTAGTGATTTGAAGAGTTAAAATTCAGATCATATATTCAAATCAAATAGTACAATAATGCAGACCAAACTTTTGTAAAGTCGGTACTTTATATAACATGATAAAATTTGTAACTAGAGGTGTTAAAAAACTTGAGTAAACTTGAGTCGACTTGGTGTAACACAGAGGTCGACTTCTAAATAACTCAAAAAAATCATATGACTGATTCTCTAGATTTTATAGATTTTATTATAATAATAATAAAATAAACTATATACGATATACAGAACTATATATATTTTTTTATTCAATAACTCCCTCTTCAAACCAACTTTTTAGACCTAAAGAAGCTCTAACTGTATCCTCAAGAAGATTAGTTCTAGCAGAATTTATAGTATTCTTGGCAATAGAAAAAGCACGCTCACAAGGAATGCTTGTAACCTGTAAAGCAAAGTAGTCTGCTACAATGCGGGCTATAGTTGGAAAACGTTGAGCATTAGTTTTTCACCACAGTAGTAGATTTACACCTGGTTCACAAGAAAAAGCTAAGTATGCCACTAACTCATCCTCTGTGTTTGCTACAATTTCTCTGTGTATATTACCTTGTACTTGCATTAGTTTTTTAAAGGTTTCCAATGGATCTTTAATTTTGATGATTGATTCTGATTTATCTTTTTTATATAATGAATAAAAATTTTCTAATTGATTAATAGCTAATATACGGTCAGTTTCATAAAATGCTTCAGACTTAGTCGATGGATCGAGAATATCGGGAATAGCAGAAGATTTATTAAGATAAATCCAATATTCATTTAGTTTGTTTTTCATTTCTTTAATTGTTTCACTATATATACTAAAAATGGGATTATTAAGGTGATTTAAAAATCCCTGAATAATTAATTGTAAAGATCCATGTGAGGGTTGCGAAGCATCTGAAAGGATCAAAGTTGCTGTATAAAAAGATTTGAGAAGTTTTATCATTTCTTTAATAATTTTCCAATCGTCGGCTTCCAAATAATTATCTTTTAAATTTGGACGAGATTGTATGAGGCCATCAGTAACATTATGAATATCAATAAGTCTTTCAAGCATCAAATAGGTAGAATTCCACCTTGTCTTAACATCAGTTACTGGATAGAGAAATTGACAGTCTAAAATAGCAGATATTCTTTTCATTTCTTCTAAATGTGTAGGTGATTTTATTTTATTACAAAAATGTCGGGCCTTCTGAATCTGGCAAAGATATATTTTTTGACCTGTTTTAACTACAAGATTAATAACATGAGCTGCACAACATACATGCTCAAGTTTTGGATTTATAAACCTTTGAAGAAAATGTAGACACGTCAAATTATTTCCCACATTATTACTAGTGAAGCCAATTACCCATTCTTCAATCTCCAGAGCTTTAATAACTTCAAGAATTTTTTCTCCAAGGTATTCTCCTATATAGGCATCATGAAGAGGAATGAAATCAAGAAAAAAAGCTTTTGCCGTCCATTCAGCATCGATCTAATGAATCGTAATTCCGAGAAAAGATTGCTGATTGCATGCCGTCCAAACATCCAAAGTAAATGCTAATTTATTTGGGCTAGCCTTTAGAGTCTCCTTAATTTTTTTTTTGCTAATTCAAATTATTTTTTTATATTTGTAAATAATGTTTGATGGCAAGGAAGCTTGTAATGTGAATCAAGATTGGAGCAAAATTTTATAAACGATTCCTCTTCAACTACTGAAAATGGTTGCTGGCTAATAACGATCCAACGCAACAAGTCATGGTTCAAAGAATCAATATGAGGCTATTTGCCAGTTGAATAAAAAAAAGGCTTTGGAGTTTTCAAAAAATCTTTATAGATTAGTGGATGTTTTATTTTAAAATGACTTG